TTTCTTACACTGCACGATCATTAACGATATTAGTTTAAAATTTTCATCATTTATTTCTTTTAGAAAGATCTTGACATATAAGGTGAATCAGTAAGAATGAGTGGTTTTATAAAAAAAAAATGTTTGAAATGAAATTTATTGTGTTCGAAAGGTCTAATCGAATGAATATATTCTGATTTTTCGACATCCTATATTTCTGAAGATATCAAAGTGATTTTGATTTTTTTAAAAATGGAATAATACATTTTTTTAATTCATTGATCCATTGACATTTTCTGTAAGAAAAGCACCCTGTGAATAAAATTATTATTATTCAGAAGATATTTTAACTTTAATTCTATAAAATCTATTGCATAAAGAACAATTTGAATGTAAGAATATCGCTCGTCTTTTCTCGTTTTAATGATAGATTGTATAAAATTAAAGTTAAAATATTTCTTAAATTAATAATTTTTCAACATATGTTGATTAATACTTTTTTTTTTATAGGGAATGACTTGTTGCATAAAAAAATTACGTAATTCCATTTAAAAAAATAGCATTGACCTAACTATACAAGTACATGCTTCTTCTTCGAAATAGAGCAAATTGTATTTGTAACATTTCTTAAATAACAAATAGTTATGAAAATAATTGCATTTATAGACGAGCCCTTTATGTGCTTATTTATTATGTTTTATTATTTTGATCTTAGCCATTGAAGAATGCTAATGACGTAGAAATAAAAATAGTTCTCAAGTTTGGTGAAATTATAGAAAAACTTACTTTCCGATTTCGATGATTTTTGAACATGTTCTAGAAATCATTTTAAACATTTTGAAAAAAAAATTTCCCTGTACCTGTAGCCGACCTAGTTTCCGAGATATTCCTAAAAAAACCTCTCTTTATTTTACGAAACTAAACATCATTTATCACACGATATTCATTTGCGACGTTTGTTGCAGAATAAAAAAATTCGAAAAATAGCTATTTTATGCAAACGTTGCCTTACAGCGATTGAAAAGGCTTCAAGATCAATACATTGACAATGTTCATTATTGATTGAGTTACAACTACGGACATTTCTTACTCGCATATGCGCTTCTGTAGTACTATAAACACGAAATCTCGCCTGAACGATGCAAGTTGTGCAGTGCCATGAATGAAATATTTCGCATTCTATTAAATTAAAAGAGACGGGGTTCATTTCCTTTAGCAACTTTGTTCCTTTAAACGAGGAGAATATGACGCAATAATAAAAAAAAAATTTTAGATTATGATAAATTTTTAAATCTTTAGCAAATCTCCAGAGAATTAGACGTAGAATCAGGCTATGAAAGATATGTAACTTTGAAACATCCTGTACAATCGATAGTACCTTCTCGTTTATAATACTGCAGGAGTGACAAACAGAATAGCGAAATAAGTTGAAAAGAGATAGTACCAGAATTATATGAATATAATTCAAGAAATAACTGAATTTAATTTTAAATAACTAAATTTACTATACATTACTGTATATAGTTATATACGGTGCAACTTTTATATAGTCACAATCAATTGCTTCGAAAGAAAGTGTCTTATTTTCAGTGATATTTTCAATGATTCTTATTTTTATATGATGAAATTTTATAATAGAGAATAGTTCATACTATCTTATGATTTTTACACGTTTTGTTCCTACGAAAATACCTCATATATCCTACATGGTGTACAGAAAAATTATAAGGCATTAAGAAAGTTAAGTAACTAATATTAATCTAATGACTCGAATGTAACATCTTCAGTTTCTAAACGCAGTAAGAACATAATTGAAGCGTTTCTTAAATAACTCGAGTTACACCTACAAAGTTCTTTTACAAAAAGCAGCTCCACTTTTTTCTATTTTATTACCAGATCCATTGAAAACAATATTTCTAATCTTTAAATTAAAATTAGTGTAAAATTATTTTGCTAATTATTCTCTATCATGCTTCTTGTGTTCATCGATGATTCTCATGGTTATTTAAATATTTTTAAAATATATTTGAGACTATAAAAAATATAGTCATTGCATTTGGGATCGAGTTTGTAGAATACTTTTGTAAATAGAAATTTTCGAACGCAAGATAGATTTTTTCAAAATTGTAAATATCATCTTTTCTTCGAAATTAACTTTTCGAACGTTGAAGATGAAAAGCGGATTTCAGATTCATAATCATCGTATGAAATTTAAAATGACTCGGCACTGAGGTGTCACAATTACTGCTCAACTAATTATTAGACAAATGAAGGACAGGGAATTATAGTGATGCAAGTCACTCTTGTGAAGTTTCTTTTAAAATTATGTTTCACGTCTATTGCTATCTTGATCAGACACTTCCATTTCCCAGTGATAAACAAAGTTATAACAACAGTTGGCCATGAAATTAAACATACAAAACCTTCAACATTTGAAAAAAAGTTATTAATTAGAAAAATTTAAATTTACATCGCTATGATTATTAGCCTTTCAAATAGAAAAAAAAATCGAAATTTATTTACCATTTTAATGAATACATGCATAGAATGAGTCTGCTTCTTACTAGCATAGTTTAAAAAAAAAAAAAGCAAAATTTGCCTTTTTTATAGTGAAAGTTTATGTAAAACATACACTGTGAAGACGCAATTCGAAGACGAAAAACAAAAAATCTAGCCTTACCTTTACAGGATGTGGATCAACGGCATATGTATCCAACTGTGATGCTAACCTAAGGAAGTGAGTTTCCGCTTGTTCTGGAGTGAATCCCTTCAACTCTGTTTGATGCAGCTTCATAGCTTTCTCTTCAATAGCTTCCGTTTGTTTAAGTAATAATTTGTGCTCGGAAATGTAATTCCCTTCATGAATTTTAGGATCATAATCCCCCAATTCACCTAAAATTAAGGATCAGGAATTATTATTACTCGATTCGTAAATTATATATTATTTAATAACATGACAAGGAACTCTACAAGATGTCTCATCTCATTGTAAGTGTAACCTCAACAAAAAATATTTCATTCATAGTTTGAATGATATCAAGTGGCCAATATCTTGCAGGCGCTGTTTTTTTTTTTCAAAGACCATTTGAGAGGGGGGAGGGGATTAGTAAAAAACTAACTTAATATAGCTTTTTAAACTCGATTTTCTCGAAAGTACCTTAAATGAAGACTTAAATAAAAAAATGTTATTCTTTCTTTTAGACTTATTTTTTTTTTTTTTTTTTAAATGTAGAATCACTTGTTTTCTGATTGCACCACCGGATCGAAAATACACTGTGTTCGCGCGCGAATTTTCGAAATTTCGCGAGAGCTGAATTGGACTGTCTCGAAGTGGAGCGAATTCTGGGAAATTCCCTTGTTTCCCTTTCCATCGGCTTCGGGAAATTTGTTGGCATATGACATTGTACAAATATTTTGCCTATATTCGGGGAAGTTAATGCCTTGATTTATGTCACGGTCGAGAACACAAGTCGATTCACACCTTGTTAGGTATAGAACACAAGTCGATCAGATAGTCAAAGGTTTATGGCCACTTACAGCTGTTAGAGGCTCAGGTCACTTGAAAGTCACCTAAACTCTCTATAGCGAACCTATCAGACCAAGTGGCAAGGAAACTTTCTTGAACATAAAGACTTCTAATTCATCTTCTTCAAGGACAGAAAGACTTATTATTAATACTTATACGTAAGCAAATTGCAATAAACAACAATATAAATACATTCATTGAAAACGAAATAATAATTGAACCTAACCTAAACCTAAAATATTTAGGTTAGGTTTAATAATTGAAAAATAAACATTTTAAAAAGAAGGATATGCTGAAGGTTGATCAATTATAAAATATATTCGATGAGAAATTAATTTGATAGATTGATTTGAATAGCTTTTTACTATCAATAAAAATAAATTGTAAATGGTAAAAGTATATCAAAACATAAGTGATAGGCATACATTGGATTAGCCGATTTGTATCTTGATTGTATCTCGTGCGTTTAAATGTTGAAAAAAAAACGTAAATAAATTGAACAAGAAAAAAACCTACAACGAATCACGATCGAGATGAAACGATCGAGATTTTTATTTAACATAACAACCGTATAGTGAATATTTCGATTAATGAGAATCCACGCTTACAATTAGTATTATTAAGGAAGCTTGCACCTTTCTTTATTATTAAAAACCTATTATTATTAAAAGTCTATTTAGTGATTTGTACAATATGTACATTATAAAATTTGGTATATGCACAACGTAATTTAATTAATGTTTAACGATTATGATTAATATGGAATCAGGATGTTAACTATGATTATTGATCAAATAATTAGTAATCACTGATTGATGAATAATACAAGCAATCAAAATCATTTTGATTGAAAATGATGATTAATTTAATAATCGTAAAATGAATACACTTTTGAATCAGTTTACTTCTATTAATAACACTATGTACATTTTGTAGAAACTATATTTGCAATTTTTTTTTAAATTATTATTATAATGCCTATAATTCAATATTCCAAAAAAATTTCCATCAACTATAATCGAAAGTCTCACCTATATAATTCTCGAGCATGTTCTGTACGTTTTGATGAAAATGGACTTAATGATAAACTTGCCGAATAATCTTGAAATTTTGAGATTCTTCATTATAAAAAATATATCAGAAAATTAATGAACTTTAACAAATCATTATAAATTTAACGATACAGTTATTATTGTATCTGAATATAAGCATTCTCTCTGGGTCTATTGTTCAACTGCAAGCGGCCTCCAATAATAACATTTAGCTATATCGAACAGCAAGTCCTTAATTAATACATTTAATTGGATTATGGAAATGTGCAGATTGTAATAAAATATAAATTAATCACTTGATGATTTGAAAATTACTAATTAACGATTACAAATTACAAAAGTTCAATCAAAGTTAGTGATTTATTTTAACAATGATTACGATTACATTTAGTGGTTAGAAAAATTAATTACTGTTCGGCACGATAGTAAGAAGCATTGCTTTTAAACGATGATTCGGTCAACACCCCTCGACCTCATATTTTAAATATATGTTTATGAGGATCGATTTGGCTGAGCGAACTGATCCCACAGTTTATTATCGTTGCCAAAATAAGGAATAAAATTCCTGTGCCAGAACAAGAAATAAAAAGGAACATTACTGACATAGGCAAGTGGCGAAGGGGTTGGGACAGACAGACAAAAAATATGAATTAGAACTTATATACCGTGGACGCTGACGTGAACAATACTATCAATATCCATGTTTGTGTTGTAAGGTATAGCAGTGCGTATTACTCGCAACGAAACTATGAGATAAGGAATAAATCAAGTTTTAAAATTTTAAAATTTTATACATAACTGAAGAAACAGAGCTTAAAATAGAAATTTGTTTTCTCTACTACTATATATTACTATAGATATTTTAAATATCTTTGTGTTTTTATATGCTTTTCTGCAACTTCAAATTTTCTGTAAATTCATAAAAATCCATTAGTCTGTAAATAACATTGATGATATTAATCAACACTTTAATCAATATTCGAACTGATCTTGAACAAATTCGCACTATTTTTCGAGAAGAAAAAGAAAAAGAAAAAAAAAACAGCAGGAGAACTAAGGTTTTCCTGGCCTCATTAAAATTAGAAAATCGAGTTGTTCGAAGATTATGTTCATGTGCATCTCAATAGCGTACAACGTGCTATAAACGACTTTCACGATCGTGCCAATAATGTTTTTCTTCTTCAGAAATCTTTGAAAACAACCAATAGAAAGAAAAACGGAAAAGTCTATTTCAATTTTCTATCGACTCAAGAAATCGTCTGATACCGATGAGGTGGAAATTGCAATCAATCACTCTGTAATCATTTCTGTAACCAATTACTAAATACAATCATAGGAATCGTAATAATTAATCATTGTTACAAACAAATCAATAATTTTGATTAACTTTTGTAATTTGTAATCGTTAATCAATGATCTTTAAATCGTTAAG